TGGTCATAGTACTCGGTTGACTGTCTCTGTTTGATCCAATGGGCTAATTGACCACACTCACTTGCACTTCGCATTTCTTGCATGTGTTTTCACAGTGTTTGCATGTCATATTCTTTGCTTGAATTTATGCCAGTATGTGCATAACAAAACTATCATTTTTGAAATTTACGTGATATGTTAAAAACTATTGCATGAAAAAACAAATCTTCCTTTAGCACCTACTTGCATGTGGTGTCTTCTCGAGCACCAACACTTGCGATATCACCGCACACAAGTGTCACCATATGTGTGATTTGATAGTTGCATATTTTTTATGATTGGTTGCTAGCAAAGCTAGCCTGCCGTTGTGTAAATCTCCTAAATTGAAGCTCTGACACATCACCTCTTATGGCCTCACACTTGAATGTCGTAAGCATTTTAAGTTGTGTGCTAAATTTGAGTCACCCTATAAAGCAGTTGAACCCGTTGAGTGCAAAAGTTGTGTACACTTGATTACTTCATTTTATATTTATCACAAGCTTATCATTTGCATGTCACATGATTTTAAATCACTTTTCGGGCCCCTCGTGATCGTTTATACCTCGCTCGAGCGGTCACGATGTGTTGAATCTTATTGCATGATTACATGTGTATTGTCTTTTTTTGTTTTGATAGCAAATTATTCTTATTATGTGAGAAATTTGCGTTGTTGAGCACGATGTTCTAACGAGCATTTCTTGTCGAGTTAATCTTGGTGAACAATGCGAGTTATTGCACCTGGATCAACATACATATGATTATGTTAAGGTTCCAAGGTTTTAACATATATTACATTGCATGTTATGGACCCGCATTTAATGGTCTTAATTTTAAAAAACAAAAAGATATACTATATTTTCTATACTTATAATATTCACCATACTTTAAAGTTAAGCAATTAGCAAAACTAGGACATATGTAAGGTTAATTCTTTCAAAATCCATTTGGGTGACATACCCCTTGGATCTTCAGGACAGGGCTGGTGTCGACGACCCTGTCAAATTCATACAATTGCATTCACCCTTGCAATGCACACACACTTAGATGTTGTAACTAGGATACTACATTGCAGATTGTGTGTTATGTTAGGATTAGGATGCTTAGATAGTCTTTTTGATATTCTCACTATTGTCCTCTGTTATTTTGTGCCTTAGCCATACATCTTTTGCTTGTTGTTTTGTGTGTTTGCTGGGTGTGAGACGTGCACGCTAGTATATTAGGGTGGTTTTCTTGTAGAGGGTCATATCCAATATGGAGGAGCTTAATGATTTAAATCCAACCCTTTCACTTACAGGCGTTGCTTAGCTCTCCTTCCGCCGGATATGGTTCATTATGTGTTACATGAATCCAGCTTATACTAACTTTTATGCAAGTTGAGTCTTTTTTTTTTTTTTTGAATTTATCATGTATTTGTTTAGAATCCTTAGGGAGTCTGTATCAAAAAATAAGATACAAGCACGGGTTCCGAAACATTTGACACACCAAACCATGTGACGGGGACCATGAGCAACTGCTTGTGTCCTGTACCTTAATTCTGAAATTTTTTTTCATGTATATAATTAGGATCGAGCATGTATATGTGGAGTTTGATTGGTTTTCCTACTTTTATGAGATATTTTATCAATTCAGCAATGCCCGGCCTCAAAGGAGAATGTAATAAGTAGTAATGTTATTTTAGTGGGTGGAATAGCTGATTGGTTGCATATTGGGGAAATAATGTTGATGATGATGATGATGATGATGCAACTAATGTAAGAAATCAATACACCTCCTAGTTGCTCATGTGGACTCTGGCTGCCGGTAGCAAAACTTTTTATTTGCCCATGTACTCTAACTTGTTGGTAGTTGTCAGGGAGTAGGTATTAATGCGTTTCTTTCACTAATTAAAATTAATGAGGATTATTGTACTTTATATGCACTGGAAACAATTTTTCCCTATATATTTGTGTTCACTTTCTGGGCTGACAAATGAAAAAAAATGTATATTAACAGGGGGCATTGGTATCTTACATAACTACAACTAAGTGTAACAGCTTTGATTGATTTCTTTATGAAGTAGTCATACTTGAACAAATGTTCACGTAATATTATTTTGGAGCTCCGACTTTTAGGAAAAATCAAAATAAATTGGGAGAGATATGGAGCAATCGAAGATTACAGACTATACAGGAGAACTGAAAATGTTGGAGATGCATTGGAGTTCAAAAGTTACATTCTCCTTTGTTGGTGCATTTAAGATGAAGTGCTCAAAGAACCCAAACATTTCTTTTATATTGCAACGTCATATTTTTAAAGCTAATGGGAAGGCTTCATTTCAATACCTTGATCATCCAAGTCCTCTTTTTGGAATGTTGGAAGATTCATTTCATAGGATGAAAACAAACCAATTTTTTCAACCTGCTTGCTTACAAAACCTATTTACTAGAATTCATTGTCATTTCATTTGTACTAGCTTGGTAGTCACTTTAGTTATCTTCGTCTCTTCATTTTGATGACCATAGTTAGGCATTATCATCAATAGGGTATGATTTTTTGGGTTAAAATTTATAACTAGCTTTATAACTTTGGTTAGCTCCTTGGTTGAGCAAACTTTGTCAACTTTTATACTCTCCTTTCATTTAGTAAAATTTCTTTGGATAACTCTTTGTTTTGTTTTTAGTTCACTTAATTGCTTCCATTCTGTGGACCAACCATTGCTGCCACATATAAATGTTTAATCACTTCCAGAATCTAAATTTGGAATCTCTGAAACACATTCACATTAACAATTAATTTTCATGTATCTTACTTTTTACACAATTACATTTGAGAGTTATTCACCCATGATTTTTTAATAAATAAACTAAAGACCTAAAGTATGCATTACTAGTGATGTTTGGATTACAATATATTAGTAAGAAAATCATAACAATGTCAAGAACTTGCAACACACTTAAGATTTTAATTAAAAATTTTAGGTTCTTAAAGTTTATGTTGCCCATGTCAGCAGACATTACTCTTTCAGCACAGTCTCGGCCAAATGGCTTCATATATTTCATCTATCCAATTGAAATAGTTACAATCATGCTCTGATCGATTTCTAAGGCATCTATAAAATTTTCTTTTGTGATTCTCACCTCGCGAACGAGCTTTAAGAAATTTTCAAATGATTATAAGCTATGAAAAAAAACTTCGATTTGTACTGGATACAAAAGAGGTTTAATGTTTTTGTCCAAATCTTAAAATACTCTTAATCAAACAATTTATCATTCTAATGTATAGATCAGATCCATGGAAGTCAATGCATTAAGAAATAGCACAGAATGTTTTGTTACGGTTTGAACTTAATAAACATCAATCCATAAAGATGATAAAACTTATGATTGATTGTCAAAAATATATCTAACCTACAAATTTCTAACATTCTGCATTGAACAAATTAATATGAACCAACATAATAAATGTGATGAATCCACAAACTTCCACCTAAAATAATGAAAGAACAAAACTACCATAACTTTGATCCACGAAAGTAACAAGATTCCAATTAATACAAATGGGAGCCTGGATAGTAATAACCATGGCTATAATTTCAAACATTGTAGAATCAGAAATCCCATATAAGAGATTGGCTTGATGTGGAAATCACAAATTTCTTCTTCAATATTTTGGAGAAAAGAAAATTTATACCTTAAAGAACATAAAAATCACTTGCAGAAATCACACGCATGCAAAGTTGCATTGCACAACTAGAGAAGGTCTTTACAGCGAAGGAGATGATGAGATTGAATGGAGTGCTATAGTTGAGGTATTTCAAGTGTTTTATATGTATATATGTAAGTTGGGTGAGACATATGCAAGTGCATATGTTTTGGGTGCTATTTGCATAAACGCGCCAATATAATTTAATGAAGAAGAATGCCATGGAGTGAAAAAATATATATATCATTCATAGATAAATTATGTTAAAAAATTATAAAGTTAAATGCAAAATCAAAATAAAAATGATACAATGAATACAGATATATAACAAGAACAGCGAGTGCGAAAGATTGATGATAACATAATATTGATTTGGTTTACTAAGAAGTTAAAAATGAAGAATATAATGGCATACAAACTTGATGTCTTAAACATAGAAATACAAATGGGGTTGATAACTTAAAAAAGAAAAAAACAAAATAAAAAAGTTTAAGAGTGCTTAGAACTCAGCAGAAATTTGAGTATGTATAACATCCCTAAATAATGGGGATAACACCAATAAGAATGATGATTATAAATAAATTACTATATATATTTTGGCTGTCAAACCTGACCGGTCTAAACTGGAAGCATTACCATTGCAAACAACTGAGCTGTATAATGTGTCATTCCTTCCCATGAAATGTTGAAAAATGCAAATTTTATTCTCTCAAAAAAGTGTCATTCATGTAATTTGAGCAGCAATGCTAATATAATATACTTTCAAGAAGAAAGCAGCTCACACATGCACCTTGGACATCAAAAGCACGTTTAGAACAATGCTGGCAAAAAGAATTCCAAAGACTCTTCAAAAGAGAAAAAATGGACAACGATCATTTTTACAATTTTTTTTTTATGATGAAAAATAAACTATAAAGTAAAGGATAATTTGTATACATACCACTAAATTCCTATATATTTACATATGCACCACCTACACTTCAATTTTTACATACATACCACTTAATTCATGTACATTTACACATCTGCCACCTATACTTCAATTTTACATTCATCCACCTTTACTATGCATGAAAATCTGTATTTCATATTTTTTTTTTTAATGTTATAATGGTGGTATTTTTGATGTGATATGAAAGATTTGGTTGGTATAAATGTAAGAAGTTTAGATGCTAGATATGTAGATACAAACTTTAAACCGTGTATGATACTCGAGCATCAAATACAAACTAGAAAAAGGAAATTAATTGACAAGCAATTAATTATAGGGAAGCAGAACCCAACCATGAGGCAAACAAAGCTAACCAAATCTTCCTTTCACAAGCACACCGGCTTCATTATTCAGCCTTTGTGTCAATTTCATGGTCCTTATCTTAAAAAACAATAACATATTTGCAGCTTCAAAATATCTCAATCAAACCTATTGGACAATGGTCCCATTTATACAGGCTTTATACAAGGAAGAAAAGTTCATCACAGCAGCTTTAACTATACAATTTTGTCACCGTCAAAACTGAGTCGCTCTATGCCTTTGAGGGTTGACTCGCAGTTCTTAAAATCAAATGAATTCCTTACAGAATTAGAGTTGCTTAGTTTCGGAAAAAGTAACTGGAGAAAAAATCTGACCACCTGGAACCCTCTGGGAAGGGCCATGGTTTGCTTCAGAAGTATGGGTGGGAAATACTCGTGCCGTAGAGAATACCATGTCCTGGCTACTGGAAACAGCAGCTCGACTTAAAGAACCGTTTAAGCGCCCCAAGAAAGCTGAGTTGGGTAACTACATGTGACATGCATTCACGGTCAGGAATGGCCTGATAAGGAAAAATATGGATTACTTTGTTACTTGAGTTGTTGATATGCTTTTCTGAAATGTGGTAGAAGCAATGAGAAAGAACTTTGGTTAATATCAATGAAAATAATAGCATGTCTGAAGCTATAAAAATGCCGTATGAATTTCTGGAATTATATAACGTCTGACTCATGATAGAGAAACAAGGTAAAAAAAAAGCTCAGAAGTAGATAGGCCCAGCCATAGTTTTGGATTGGAACTCAGATAGGTCAAGGGAAGCTCCAAACACAGCCAATTTTTGTCTAGATATCAAACTAGATCCCTCCTAACAAACACAAAATAAATAAATAATTAAATAAATAGATAAACTAGTTCCCTCCTCCCTTGGAAACCTATCAACTAAAGCACTTTCTTTTTTAAAATATGAGGTACATTTCCGTTTAGATATCGTTCAATAATGATTCCAGTATCTCTTCCTCTCACCCATGCTGGATCCAGGGTCCCCATGTGAGCTATGTTTTTGGTTCTCACTCTAGCCAATGTAGACCGACCCATACAAGTTTATTTTGACTTGTTTCTTATCATTGAAATCATTTAACTTAAATCAAGACTATGAAAAGTAAAGAAGACAACACATTTCATACTAATTGCAGGTCATGTATCAAGCTTGTGAAAAATTTAGTACCTATAATTGTGAGATAAATTAGTAATGATTTTTAAGGTGTAGAAATACGGAAATCAAATGAAACTTACTAGAATGTCTCATACAATATTTAAAGCAATTATAGTGACCTTTTTCAAAGCGGAGAGGGGAGGGTTAAAATCAATTATAATAACTTTTTTCAAAAAGGGGAGGGGACGGAAGGGTGGAAGAGGGAGAGAGAGAAAAAGGGAGAGAGGGATGTTGACAAGGGATATGGTCAGCATGGAAGGAGGAATTTTTTTTTCCCTCAAGAGATCTCAAATTTCTCCATTTTCCATTTGCCATTCGCTATGGAAAGAAAATAAAGATGCAAAAAGGAATTTTCCATTTCTTAGGAATTGGCTCAAGTTTGACTTGTCTTCAATTCAAATTCTAACAACAAAAACATGAATACATTATCCACAAACAAATTTGAAAACAAGCCAAATATGGATACACAAATTTTAAATAAGCCAAACATGAACAAATTACGAGCTTGCAAGCTTGGCCCGTTTACATCCCTAAACACTAAATACCAATTAAATGTATCCTTTATTTAAGAGCCAGACATAGTTGACCTATCTTGTTGGATTGGCTGGTTCTGACAGATCCAAATGATGCCTTATTTCTTTCAGGCTTCTACAGCTTTAACTTGACCCAAATAGTGTCCGATTTCAGGTAAAAAATGTGAAATCAGCCAACCGTCTGGATTTTAAACAGCTGCCTACTGTGTTTCAAAATTAATAATGTTACATTGGCTAGATGAGCATAGGCAGCTATAAAAAGTGATTAAAATTGAAGCTTCGACATTTAAAAATTAAAATGTAATTTTTAATAACATATTTGTCAATCTTCAACATAAAACTTGCACGTTAAAAATGAAATTACCAAAACCAAACTGCTTTAGAAAAAGCAGAAAAAATTTATAAATATATTTTGCAATACCAAGATATTATTGAAACTTATAATTAAAAAATAATAATTTTAAATCTAATGATTATAACCTCTTAGAACAAAAAAGAAAAATGCAAGCAAATACAACGTTATTGGGCTAGTAAAACTTCCAACCTTATACCATGATATTGCAGACAAATTATAAATCACCATACATCCAAAAAGCTGAAATTACAGACCATAAAAGCAGGCAGTGGCTGATCATGAGACAAAACTTACATCTTTCATAGCTGGTAAGTCATTTCCTGGTGGATTTCTCTGTTTGGTCATGCTACCGGCAGATATAGCAAGAGATGAAAATCGCTGGCCAGAAGGGTCTGTTGCACACAAAACACTCGTCCTTGCTTCTTCACCACCTAGAGAAGAGCGATAGAGAGGCACTGAGATATATCCTTGTACACATACAAAAAGGTCTACCAGCAATACCACTTGTATGCAACGTTATTTATTTTACGGCTGGGTCTTTTAAGTTCGTTTTGGATTACATGAGGGCCGCAGAAAAAAAAATAAGTGAAATGGCTAAAAAAATTTTGAAATAAGCTTTCGAGAAAATAAATGGAAACTGGGAATCTAAGTGAAAGGCATTTTTCAAGCTAAGATGATTGACCACAAATATGAAGAACCCAATTGAAACCTAAACTACTATTTAAAACCATAATTGCATTACTTTTCATGCAATGGTTATCATTGACTTGAAATGCATGTTATGTTTTGTACCCCATTCTTGAAAACAATTGTGTAACTTTATATTTGCATTCAGGATAACTACAGTCTAAGAGATTTACGAGTGGGCACGGTTGAGAGTTTAACTTTTCCTCAATTTATATAGAAAAATAGTTCAAGAGAGAAGTACCAATTTACCTGATTGCTTCTCAATATTAGGATCTGCAGGAGCAATGCCATTGCTGGGTCCAGCACCAGATCCCTGAAGAAAACTATTTATTAGATGTGCAAATAATAACACTTTCGACACAAACAACTTTCCAGACTTACAAGGACGTGTGGAGGAGCATTTGCAGCTTGTGGCTGGTGAAATTTCAAAATTGTCCAATCGAATACGTAATCAAATTGGAAACCTGTAACCAGGAAAACATGAAACTGAAAACAATCCTAAAGGCACTAATCCTCCAAAACTGACAAGTATCAGAGGACAAGCAAAAGAAAAAATTCAAGGCACATCTCAAAAGATTTCATTGAAAATGGATACAACCTTCACGAATGAAAAGATCACGGAATAGTCTCTTAAGATAAGCATAATCAGGTTTATCGTCAAATCGTAGTGAACGACAATAGTGGAAGTACGACGCAAATTCAGTCGGATAACCTCTGCATAAAGCCTATAAAATATTTTTATTGCAACGTTTAACCAAGGCAGTACAAATGTAGGCACTGTAAATTTAAAGATGCATGGCGAACAATACCTCAACGGACGTGGAGACTTTTTTTTCACTGATTTTTTCATACTTCTGTTTTTTATTTCCTGCTTTTAGTCCCTGCCAAGGAAGACTAGACAAAAAGAGAAACAACACAGTAAACAGGAATGAAATGCAGAATCGGTTTGCTTCACTTCAGAGAAATAAAACATTACCTTCCTTTTAAAAAATACATCAGGACAAATCCTAGAGATTCCAGATCATCCCTCCTGCTTTGCTCTTCATGCCAACAAGAGAACACAGCACTTAGAAGTTTGACATTGGAACATGCACCATAGGAAACATTTTATAAGGAAATGAAAGTAATAACAATAAAATTTAGGATCCATTTGGGATCATTTTTATTATTTTGTTTTTCTTTTTTTCTTTTTAATAGCATGTTTGTGTTAAGGCAATGAGTGAACCAGTCCCTCCTAGACCGGTCGAGAGCCACCCAACAGGCCCGCCACAACAACAGGCAGGCCGGTCTTTTCTGCAAGGAGCAGGGCGGCAATTTGTTGCAGCCAAGCAGGTGGGGCCCACGATGGCATTAATCACATCCTAAAGTAGGAGAAATTAAAGGAGTTCGGAGGGAAAATTAGGAAGGAAAGTTTGAAATACTGAGGGAGGATTCTATTAAGGGGAGGGAACCTAGAGTTTGTTCTTTTTATGCATGTTTTGTTAGTTGTTGTGTTTTTTCTTCTTCTTGTGGTTTTCCTAGTGACGTCTAGAGTTGTGAAAGAGCTGATCTACCTCTCAAAAAGTATATCATCATTGTATCTTGCTATCTTGCTTGTTTTCATTTTGTGTTTTGTAAGAGCAACCCTTATTTGAATTGTCTTCATCTACTTATTATCGTTTCATCGTTATTGCTAACTGATTTTGGTTTCGAAGCGTATCAAATTGGTATCAGAGAATAGATCTTGGTGGGATGGCAACAAACAAAGTAGATGAGCAAGAAGGAGAGGTAAGGGCAAATCAAATCGGAAATGGAAGAACGGTTCGCCACCATGGAGGACAGGTTTTCTTTCATTAAAATTCGAATGAATGATGGATTAGAGAACATAGGAGAAATTCGGGAGATGATAAAAAAACTCATGGAGATGAGGTTCATGGCCATGTTGATCGCTCCAGATGCAAACCCTAATCAAGAGTTGATCAGGGAATCCTTAGTCAAGTCAAAAGGAAAGGAGATCGAACGAGAAAACGAGGAAGACATCTAGGACTCCGAGACGACAGGGAGTAGAGACTTTCGATGGAGGGGGATAGGTCGAAAATTGGAGGGATGATATAAGGGGAACGAAAAAGCACAATGGAGGAAGAAGGGAATCAGGAGTTAGGTATGCCTATAGTCGAAGGAGGGAGTTCCACCCTAGAAACAGTGGGGGAAATACCGGAGAAAGAGGAGATTTGAGCGGAGATGCAAAGGTTAGAAAATTGAAGATGTTAATCTTCGAAGGAGATGATGCACATGGGAGGGCATATCGGGTAGAGCTATACTTTGCAATCAATGGGTTAGCTGAGGAAAATAAGCTAACGGCAGTGGGATTATGATTGGAGGGGAAGGCTTTAGCGTGGTTTCAGTAGATTGAGACAAGGTATCTGATGCACTCATGGGAGGAGTTTAAGGATTGCATGTTGGAGCGTTTCCGAGCCATTCAAAAAGGAGACCTACACGAGCAATTTTATGCTCTGATTTAGGAGGGGATGGTTATAGAATACCATGAGAAGTTCGAGTTCTTGTCATGGAGGTTGAGGGGTACTTCTGTGGCAGGACTGTAAGGGAACTTCTTGAAAGACCTAAAGCCCGACATACGAGCAACCATCCGACCCTGAGATCGCGTGAATTGAGAGAAATGATGGAGCTCGCCCAGATGATGGAGGACAATAAGCAGGTGAAAAAGACCAGCAAAAGAGGCAATACCAAAGGATTCTATAAGAGCACCTTAACAGCAAAGACACTGAGGACCCAAACAATGTCATTTCAGAAAGATACGTCAAAGGAGAAGAATACACGGACCCATCCCGGGAGTAATTTCAAGCACCTCACAGATGCAAAAGTACATGATAAAAGAGCAGAAATATTACGTTACTGTTGTGATGAGAAATATACCTCAGACCACCGATGCATGGAGCGCACTCTTCAGTTTCTTTTAGTTCAAAAGGAGGATACAAAGAGTGAGGAATCAAAGAAGTACGCAATGGAGGAGCATGTGCATTTGGATGTGGTAGAGATGTCCCTCAATTCGGTGGAGGGATTTACCCCGAATCACACCATGAAGGCGAGGGGGTGGATCGGGGAACAACCAATTGTGGTGTTGGTAGATGGCAAGGCCACAAAACTTTATCTCAAATCAGGTCGTGAAGAAGCTAGGGTTGGAGCTAGTGACTATAGGGAACTTCAGCATCATGATGGGGACAGAAAATGTGGAGATAAGTTGGGGAATTTGCAATGGGTTGGTTCTGACACTACATGACCTACAGGTGGTAGAGGACATTTTTTCCTTAGATTTGGGCAGCACATATGTGATTTTGGGAATGAAGTGGTGGTGAACGCTTGGAGAGATGTAGATGGATTGGAAGTCCCTGATGATGGAGTTTCAAGTGAACGGTAGGAAGGTGATGCTGAGGGATGCTAGTTTTTTAAAAATTAGTGTAGTTCAAAACCATGGTCAAGTCGAATTGAGGAGCAGGGCGGGGCTACTTGTTGGGGTTGAAGAGCATTGAGGAAATTCAAGATTCAGAGTTTGCAATCTTCTGAAAGTGTCCAACAGCTTCTACAACAGTTTACAGATGTCTTCCAACAACCAAGTGGGTTACCTCTCCCGAGGGAGCACGAGCACGCTATTACATTGAAAGAGGGTGTTTCTCATATCAGTATCAGACCATACATGTACCGCCATATTCAGAAGAATGAGATAGAGAAATTGATTCGAGAGATGCTCGAGGCACAGACTATCAAGCCTAGTGTGAGCCCTTTTTTCAATCCAGTCCTGTTAGTGAAGAAAAAAGATGAAAGTCGGAGATTCTGAGTGGACTATCGGGCTTTAAACAAGGAGATGGTGTTCGACAGATTTTTTATTTCTGTGATTGATGAGTTACTGGACAAGTTTTATGGGGCAGTCATTTTCTCAAAAATTTATCTTAAGATGGGATACCACCAGATCAGGATGAATCCAGTTGATGTGCACAAGACAACATTCTGGAGACATGAAGAACATTATGAGTTCTTGTGATGTCGTTTGGCTTTACCAACACCCCGACGACATTTCAGTCTCTCATGAATAGGATTTTTCAACCTTACTTCTAAAAATTTATCCTGGTCTTCTTTGATGACATTATGATTTATAGTTGTCAGAGACAGAGCATGTGAGACACCTAAGGATAGTTCTTAAGACATTGAGGGAGCATTAATTATATGCCAACATGAAGAAATGTTCATTTCCATAGTTACAGGTGGAGTACCTAGAACATGTGGTGACCAGAATGAGGTAGCAGTGGATCGGTTCAAGATGGAGGCTATGGTGGATTGATCCTTAATAAGAAATTTAAAGGAAATGAGAGAATTCTTGAGTCTCACCAGCTACTACCGGAAGTTCGTGAGAGAACATGGCATGATAGCATGGTCATCGACGGAGCAGTTGAAGAAAGACAATTTCAAATGATATGAAGCAACAACACAGACATTCGAACATTTTAAGAGAGTCAAGACCAGCGTCCTGGGATTAGCACTTCTAGATTTTAGTAAACCATTTGTGGTGAAAACAGATGTGTCATGGTATGGGTTTGGAGTAGTGCTCATGCAAAAACAGCAGTCAATTGTCTACTTTAGCCAGGTTCTTACGACCAGAACGAGGCTAAAGTCAATATATGAACTTAATTGATGGCAGTTGTTTTGGTCATTCAGAAGTAGCGACCCTACCTGTTGGGACAACATTTTCTAGTCAAAAAAATCAAAAAATTTTAAAGTATCTTCTGTAGCAGCGGATGGTGATTGAGGAGCATCAGAGATGGCTATTTAAGCTACTAGGGTATGATTTCGAGAATCAATAACAGCCAGGATTGGAGAACAAGGTAGGCAATGTACTGTCGAGAAAGGTGGAGGAACCCCAACTAACGGCCCTATCGCTACCCTTGGTCCTAAAGTGGGAAGCCTTAAGACAAAAGAGCGAATGAGATGAGGGGCTAAAGATAAAGGTCGGGCTACTACAGGATCCAAATAGTCATCTAAGATATGCATTGAGGAGGCAGCAGCTGCTCAACCATAGGCGATTTGTACTACCCAAGGCGTCGGAATATATTCTCAGATTATTACAAGAGTTTCATGGCAATGTGATAAGGGATCACTCAGGGGTACATAAGAACTACAGTCGTCTAGTGGCAGAACTTTATTGGGTGGGGATGCGTAGAGACATAGAGGACATGGTGGCAAAATACGATGTCTCAACGGCACAAGTGCTTGACCACTGCACCAGGAGGGTTATTATAACCATTAGCATTACCGAGGAAGGTTTGGGAAGAAGTAATGATGGATTTTATCGAGGGGTTGCCACGATCAGAAGGGTTCACAGTGATCATGGTAGTTGTGAATCGCCTGAGTAAGTACGCACATTTGATTGCCTTAAGACATCACTACACCGTGGTCTCAGTCATGATGGTGTTTATCCGAAAAGCGGTACATTTGCACAATGCACCGGAAGCGATTGCATCAGATAGGGAAAAAGGGCTCCTCCACCACTTCTGGAAGGAGCTATTCAAGTTGCAAGATACAGCCCTTAAGAGAAGCACCACATATCATCCTCGAACCGATGGACAGAAGGAGGTGGTCAACAAGAGTGTGGAGACATACATTCGTTGTTTTGTATCTGATACACTAAAGTTATGGGCAAAGTGAGTTGCGTGGACCGAATATTGGTATAATACTTCGTACACACCGCAACACAGACCACCCCTTTTAAGATATAGTATAGGCGGAATTCACCTCACTTGATACATTATGGGAATAACGCTACACCATTATCCAGCGTCGATTAGTACTTGGAAGAGAATGACATGATACTAGCAACACTCAAGGGCATCTACTGAGAGCTCAACAAATCATGAAGAGGAAAGCGGATGAACATAGGAGAGGTGTGATTTGAACCAGGGGACAAGGTCTGCTTGAAATTGAGGTCATACTAACAGAAGACATTGACCAGGAGGAGAAACAAGAAACTTTCACCACAATACTTTGGATCTTATGAGGTGATGACACGCATCGAGGCAGTGGCCTACCATTTGAAGTTACCACCATCGTCCGCACTACACCCAATCTTCCATATATCACAACTGAGACATGCGATTGGAGATCATACACCCTCGTTTACACTAACACCGACACTGATGGAGGACTTGGAGGTGATTCTAGAGTCGCTAGAGATTGAAGGAGTGCGTCGAGGAGTAGGGTGAACAAAGGAGGTATTGGTTAAGTGGAAAAGGCTGTCTGACTATGAAGTAACGTGGGAGCCTTATGAAATGATCCACAAACAGTTTTCATCCTTCCACCTTGAGGACAAGAAACTTCTTTAGAAGGGGAGTATTGTTACGCCCATAAGTGAATCGGTCTCTCCTGGATCGGTTGAAAGCCACCCAACTGGCCTGCCACAACAACAGACAAGTCGGTCTTTTCCTCGAGAAGGAACAGAGCGGCAATTTTCCATGGCCGAAATAAGCAAGGAGCATGTGGGGTCCACGAGGGCCTTAATCAAATACTCAAGGAGGATAAATTAAAGGATTTTGGAAGGAAAGTTTAAAATGTTGTGGAAGGATTCTATTAAGGGGGGAGGAACCTAGGATTTGTTCTTTTTATGCATGTTTTGTTATTTGCTGTGTTTTTCTTCTTCTTATGGTGTTCCTAGCGATGTCTAGGGTTGAGGGAAAATCGATCTACATCTTGAAAAGTAGATCATTATTATATCTTACTTATTTTCATTTGTGTTTCGTAAGAACAACTCTTATTTGAATTATTTCCATCTATCTATTGGCGTTTAGTCGTTGTTGCTTAATGCTTTTGGTTTTGGAGTGTATCTTTGAAGTATTTTTCAAATATTTCATTTCTTATTTCTTAAAAATACTTAAAAAACAGTTAGGTGTTTTGAGTATTTTTTAAAAACAACTATCACAGCAGCTATTTGTCACTGCTGCCAGCCCACGACACTCCAGACTCCAACTGACACTATCACAACCGCCATAATTGCCTCACCGGTTGCCTCTGCTGGTCCATGGCGACCGACACTATTACCATATAAATCAATTTATAATATATTTAATAACAATAAAAATATATTTTTATGAAGGTAAATATGTTTCATTTCATATCAAAACATAAATAAAATAAATAAAAAATAAAAAACAAAAGTGATCACAAATGAACCCTTTATTTCAACATGCAATTAGCAGAAGGTAGAAGGCAGAAGCCTTACTCCAAATTACATTACAATAAAATCAGATGAGTTGAACAGATAGTTCTAAGAGAATCTTATATGAAAGAGCTCAGAAACACACCAATGCCAAGATGAGTATTCATGCTAGCATATCTTGCCGTTCCAGTCAGGTTCTTGTTCTCTCTGCATTTTTATAAGCAAAAAAGAAAAAAAAAATACATTAAAAAAAGAGATATACTCGTTGTTGCTATGAGGTAAGAGACAAACAGAAAAGCTAACGCCAAAAGATAAGGACAAATCAGTACAACAGTGTCAATTTAATAAGGTTAATAACTTCACTTCTTGAATAAAATTCCTTTCCCCAGAATTCTCTTCAAATATTACAGAATTCTATACACTGCCTTAAGCTGTGAATGTTTAGGATTATGCATAAATTTAATTACCACACCAATAATGTCAACAATATTAAATCTAGTATGTGACAAATAAATAAGCTTTCCTACCCATTATAGGAGTTTTTTTCCTGTTTTCTATCTTTTAAAGCTTCACTACGTTTAGGATTAAATTATATGGTGCTCTTCACACACTTGAATCCCAAGTTATGACGCATTCAACCGATATATATTTTTACTGTGATATAAGAATGAGAGAGTGCAACTTCCACATCAAGAAAAATTTAGCTAGCCTAGCTCTTTGACTTCAAATTTATGAAGCAACCTTCTATTTAAATTCTCCATTCATTCCAAGTCATTACTTGCCATGAAAATGTTGTCAACATAAAGTAGTCGCATTGAGACTACCTCTTAAATTTTATGTTTCACAAATAATGTGGTTGCCTCGATTTTACTTATATACCATGTGGAGCATTATGTTGATGAATCTTCCAAATTTGATCTATGCAGATTACTTTAATTCATATAATTCCTTTACTAAGTTCTATATCTTTTGATCTATATTTGAGCCAAATCTCGATAGAACCGTCTTATATACTTCTTCCTCTAGGTCACCACATAAGAAGGCAATCATCACAACAAATTAGTATATTTTTTATACCTGGTAACTGCTAATAATAAGAGAACTCTAACAATGTTGGTTTTAATAGCTAGCTAAAACAAAGGTTTCAAAATAATCAATCTCATGTATTAGAGTGTAGCCTTTAGCCACTAATGCCTTTATATCTTTCTAAAGAACCATCTAATTTGCATTTTACAATAAAGACTCATTTATATACAATTGGTTTCTTTCCTCATTGTAATTTTAACAATTCTCATGTTTTAGGGGCTTTGAGCCGGTGGTGCAGTGGTGGTGCGGTGTCGAATCATAGTTTTTCCTATTTAGCAAAACTGCATTTTGTCAACGTTCTCAAAAAGTTGCAATTGAAAGTTGTTTTTCCAACAGACCTGACTACCTACGGTGGCTTTTAAAAGACTGCGGTATGACTTTTTTCAAAAAAAAAAGTGTAATAACCACCGTAGTTTTTTGAACAGCAGCTTCTAACTATTTCTTCATACAGTTGCACCTGCCTCAAACAGACCCTTATTTTTTTAAAGGGTTTATATTTCTTCCCTCATAATATAATTCCAATTCATATCATTCAAAACCAAGGATAGAAATAGTATAGTAACTATAAGAAAAATTGATGACTATGAAAAAGATTTTTGCATAGTTAAATAATGATAAAGGATTCAAATATTGAAATGTGTTTGCATTCGGTGATTTCCTAAGTAGATTCAAAGATTGATCTAGCTTAGGGGAGTTGTAGAGGTTGAGATGCCTTTCATCATGAATAAATTTTTAATGGCCGAGTAAGAAGTAGTGCTTAAATAAAATTGATTTGGCTAAAAGTAGCTAACTCTGTTATAAAGTTATTTGCTTAAATAAGAGGTAATAAAGGATAATCTAGAAGAAAAAAATTATTTATGAATAATAATTTTTACTTCAGGAGGTAAATTTTTCATTGGAAGTGACATCAATAAATATATACACCCTTTTTATAGGGAATGGTAGCATTGGTACCATATTTGTGTAAGAGGATAGAAAAGAAAAATATATTTAATTGCTCTCACATCAAATTTTTCTCTATTCTGATATTGTATATAAGAAAGGGAAAAACGTCCATAAATTTTGAGAACATTATTATTAGAAGAATTAAAATTGGGAAAGAATTTATTAATGACTTGTGTAGGACATTTTAACCCAATGACCTTTGTAAATAACCAATTTATGATGTCAGTGGTTATTAAAACTACTTCCACTCAAACCTTTTGTAGGACACTTTCTTGAAAAAAGAAGAGACCTTGTGGTAGTAAGTGGTTAGGGTATGCATACACAAGAAGACTCATATTGTATTTCCATTTTCTTTTTTCTTTGAAGCACAAAGATAGAAAATGATTGAAGTAGTATTTAGTAGTAAGTGGTTAGGGTGTGCATACACAATAAGACTCAAATAGTTTTTTTTTTCCCTTAAAGAGCAAAGATAGAAAAGGATTAAAGTAGTATTTAGTATTGTCAGATCTCATCTTTTTAATTTAAATACTAAACTATTTTTTATCAAATTGAAGTGAAAAAAATGGTACTCGTGTCACTGTTACCTTTAGTTACAAAAACCTATGACACACAATTACAATCATTAAAAGACAAAAAACACTAACCCCAAAAATATTAGGGGAAAATGATGGTCCATAGATATTACTATAAATAATAGTAAAAAGAAATAAAAATTCATATGCCACTCAATAGAAAACAAGCACGTCCATAATGAAATTCTATGATTTGCATCTTTGAATACTTCCTAAGAGATGAATAAGGTATAGGTGTTAAAGGTGAAATTATTTTACTGTATTTAAGAGTTTCTAAGAAAAGATATAGCACAAAAGATTGTATGGAATTTTCATGATCATTTGATTTCCCAAAGTGACAAATCATAACTGTATTTGAATTATTTGGCTAGCATTTGAATGAATAATAGTTTTATAAAAAATTTAAGCACATGGAAGATATTTCTGAGTGAAGGATTTATTTATAAAAACGTTACTTTGATTAACCATGGTTGTAAATGATACATCAGTCACAATTATCTTCTTATTATTGGGGTAAGAGATATCTGAAATAAGTTTGTGAAAGAAGTTGTTCATATGACATGTAGCTTCTGAATCAATAATTTAAGAGCTTGAAATAGGTATCTCCAAGATTTTAAAAGATTTAAGAAGGGGTAATAGCTAAGTATGCTAAAGTATAAGTACCTGTTATAAATGTTTTTTTAAGATGCTCCTAGCAAACAATTTTGTCTTTTTGTGCTTTTTAAATGGTTCAATTCTCTTCTCTTTAAGAATCTAAAACCTAATCACGCTTACTTTAGATAGTTATTCTCATGTCCTGTTGGATGGATGTTTTATAACTCTTCCGTTGGAAGTAATTTGTTCATCTCAATCTCAAAAGAACCCAATTACCATTGGTAAATGCCTAATGTTGTTGTCCACTGAGAGGAAAATTGTGATTCAATCAACAAAAAAAATTGTTTTAAGAAAAATAAAAAGAAATGTAGCAATGCAACAAAGAAGATTGCAGCAATAAGAATAGTTTGTGACATGCACTGATGAAGGCTGCAATAATAAGAAAAAGAAAAGAAATGAAGGCTGCAAATTTATGGTTATGCAATGATAACTGCTACAGTTATACAAATGCAAATAACAGAAAAAGCCTAGAGCTCTAATACCATATAAAATTGCAGAGAATTAGTTGAATATTTAGTTCCAACATTTTTTGTGGTATTTTCAGAAACCTTAGATCGTATAATTAGAAACATACCAAATTAGAGAATAATGATTAGAAGTGTCCCATGGATTGGAGATATGGCATAAAGAATCACATGGATCCATGAAGTAGAAATGAAAAGAAGAAAATGGAGCAAGTTGAAAAGGGGAATCCATGGTACTAGTTTGGAAGGGCGAAATGGTCTAGGTGCTAGGGTGGAGAACTAGTACGTATGGGTTCAGGTTGGACAAACAAGAGAAGGAATTCAAGAAAGTGCTTCATAAGAGAAAGAAATGAGATGTTTCGAGGAGAAAGATGAGGGGAGGATAAGGCTCCTGGAATGCAAAATTGCATGTGTTTTAGTTGTTAGTAGATTAGAGATCTCATCCCAACAAATGCCAATAAAATAATAAAGGTTTTTAAAGTCATATATGTTATTTTAACCGTGCATAAAAAGATGCATTTCATTTTTTTTAAGTTAAAAAGTGATATTTTTTATGTGATATGAATAATTTGGGTTATATAGATATAAAAACAAAGTTTAGGTGATAGATATGTAAATAGATAGGGAATGGGTGATGTGCATGTAAATGTCCCAAAAATAAATCATAAACAAGATGACCTAGGGAAGTCGAGAAAGATGAATTTGGTGAAGATGATGGAAGGCAATAGAGGATTGGGTCTCAAAGTGAAGACTATCATCTTCAATGTCACTTCTTTTAGTCTCTTCGCAAACCATGCACGAAGTGGTGTTGTGATGTAAATTCCATGAGCTTAAACTGATGCAAATTCCATCGATGCCGCATTATCAGGTCAAATTATTTACAGTTTTATTTGAAGGTTCGTAGTGTTAGAAGAAATCAACTTAGATTTTACCAAATTAAAATCTCAGTTGTAAAGCAATTTTATAATATTAGCATGGCAATAATCAAAATTTAGAGGATTATTTGTATAAAAATTTGAAGGTCACAAGGTCATTCCATGTAAACAATTTTTTGCAATATAATGCGATAAATTTGTTAGGGTTGAGATTTTAGTTCAAAGAAGATTTTTTGTATGAATCATTTTTCGCATAAATTAAAATCAAGCCAAGCTATGAGCCAAATTTTTGGCTCACTGCAATCTTGCAGCTAATTTTGAGCCAGTCTTAGATTGCATTGAAGCAGCAAGAAATCCTCAACATAGTATGTATATTTTTAAATGTAGCATAAACATATGAACGCATTAATGTGTATAAGTACTATAATGCACATACATACAATGTTAAATATTTTTTTAAATGGGGGATTTACATAAACAACACTGAAACAATCAAAATTACATATCTCACGTCTAAACTTCATTATTTGCGCCATTTAGCATCATATTATCGATGTTAGCTAACCTTGTTGGACGCTCGCCTCGACCAATGCCTAGACACCATAGATACCCTCACGTGAAACTGTCATTGTCATCACCAGTCCTCCCAACACCTTGGCGTGTGCTCATAAGTGGTCATGGACGGAAAGACAACAACTTGGAGAGCTGGCAGTGAGCTCACAAGCAGTGTGAGCAAAGCTCACAATCGACAAGGACAACATTAGCTACACCTAGGGAAGGTGACAATAAGATGCCTTCCAAAGGGTCTGTCAGTCACTGTCGTCGCTAGTCCTCCCAGCCCCTGGACATGCACTCTTTGGAGCTTGCAGATGGTAAAGCAATGATAATTGAGTAGGTGACCTAGCCGCAAGCTCGTATGCAGTGAGTGCAGAGATCGTCAGATCAGGTGGGAACATTGACAGATGGCAGATTTTAGACAAAGCAGTTTTTTTCTTTTTTTTTTTTTTTTGCTTTCATTTAAATGTTTTGAGTGCTATGGGTATAGATACTGAAGTCTATGTGTGAGATGCAATTTTGATTGTTTTAAGTGTTATATATATGTCAATCCCCTTTTTAAAAGTAAAATAAAAAGAAATTATTTCAAGTTAGCTCAAAGTCAAACTAATTATTGCCAATCCGCCTCAAAAAAGAAATTTGTTCAAGCCATGAATTGATTTTTGACCCCCGAATAGATTGATTGGAAATTTGATTATTTTCATCCTAAATCTAGTACATCAACTCCAAATCCCACTTTTGGAAAACCCCATAAACTGAATATATTGTGAGAATACATTTGTGTGTGAATCTTATGTAATGAAGCCTTATTGAAGTTTAAAGATAGAGCATAATGAAGGTATGAAAATAAATATAATTATAAAAATTTAGTAGATAAATTTTTTAACAAAAAGAAAATTTTCTTTTATAAAAAGGTAACTAATTTGATGATCTTATGAGTTCAAGCTACTTAGTAAAAACCCCAAGAAGCTTCAAGCTACTAAAAAAAATTAGATAAAATGAACAAATTGGTCCAAGGCTATTTAGACCATTTATTTTAACCCCAAACTTTACCCAATTTTATCCCTCAACTTTTTAAGGGAATGAAATTAAAGAATCAAAAGAGTATTGATAAAGAAAAATCTGATCATTAAGTATCTAAAAATCTAATCATTAATATGTAGTCATCCATCTAACACTCAATTCCTTATTCCCCTTCAACTCAATTTTTCAAGCATTCGGAGCATACATAAAACTGCTTTGATGAAACTGTTATATGATTTGGGTAGTAGATAACAAATAAAACTGAGATGACTAGTTTTTATCACACATATAAGTCTTAAAAAATGTGCACAAGAAATAACTGCACAATTGGCTTAAATTTCAGCACACACCTGTATGGAATGTGTTGGTGAGTTGAAGAATCTCTGTACTTTTTGGCAAGCCCAAAGTCCAGAATGTACACCTAGGCAAATGAAAGGGAGGAAGATGAATAAGATAACAAGAACTAAAAGAAGAAATATTGAAGGCCAACTTCATGCATACCTGATTTGCACGTCTTCCCAATCCCATTAAAAAGTTATCAGGTTTTATATCCCGATGCAGAAACGATTTTCCGTGAACATATTCCACACGGTTTATCTAACAAAAATATCAAAGACCTATTAGAATAATTTAGTTAAACAACAGTGTGAGAGGAAGAAGGCATTGTGAGTGCACGTCAACTATATACCATCTGATCAGCTAGCATAAGAACAGTCTTCAATGAAAACTTTCTACTGCAAAAATTAAAAAGATCTTCGAGGCTTGGTCCCAACAAGTCCATCACAAGCACATTGTAGTCACCCTCTACGCCGAACCATCTTATATTTGGAACACCAGCTAACAATAACAGAAGTGTCAGCACTAGGGAATTACTAGAGTTCAAAATTATACCAGCATAAGTTGAACGCTTACTTCCTCCTTGCAAAATCCTGTAGAGCTTTGACTCATAAAGCAACTGAGGGTGTTTGGTTTTAACATTTTCCTGAAATGTAGATGCAAGAAGCAATCATTTTCTCCAGAAATAAACATTAATTTTGTAAACCATATAACTTTTAAAAAACAAATTTATTTTTTTCTTTTTAAATGATCAACTATCAAATCCTATATTCGCTATGGGCTAAAAATAATATCATGAAAATTAATTACTTATTTAAAGAAGAAGAAGAAATAAGCCTGCCAATGAACCCCGCCAAAGCCAAAAAAAAAAAAAAAAAAAAAAAGATGCTACTTGAGCTTCGATAGAGTTATCACCTTTCAGTAAGGCATTTTAGTAATATAGGTAATATCCTAACTCTCTTTCTTTTGTCAGACATATGTCACTCAGAAAGTTGCAAGTTATGTGTGTATTTTCCCTCGTACGTTCGAGTTATATAGATCACACAAATGAAGGTATAACATAAAGACAAGTTCACAAAAAGAATAATAAACTGTAATAAAAAATAGAAATAATTGTCGAAATGGACCCTTGACTCTTTTTTAGGGATCATTTTAGTCCCAGAGTTTATAGAAGTGTCATTTCAATCCCTAGAATTTTTTTAGTGAAGATTATTTTGGCCCCAATTAAGTAGTTCGGGGACTAACTTAGCACTTTTATAAATCTTGGGACTAAAATGACCCAATGTAAATAGTCAAGGGACTATTTTGACATTTTACTCATTAAAAATATAAAATTGGAAAGACTAGGAAGTCATTTCTCTTTTAGGGACGGTTTAACCAGAAGCATTAGGAGTGTATGTTGACCTCATTTTTGTGAGGTCTTCTTTTCTCCTCCTTAGAGCCTAGGATCTAGTTCTAGGAGTTCCTATTGACCGTCCTAGAAAACTAGAATTGAGACTCACCCTTTTAGAAAATTCTAGTCAATTCCTATTTTCCTTTGATGTCTAGCATCTTTGGCACAAGATCATCGTCTTATAAACGAGTGGTTATGGGTTATTTTGCGAAGACTCAAGGGAAAAGTTCCTGATAGGACTTCAAGCCTTAGGAAAACATCGTCACGACCTTTTTTTCGTCACATACACACACAAAATGCACATAATTCAATGAATTGCACGAAATCGGACTTCAATTAAGCCTAAAGGACGGGTGAAAATGTGAACTTCTCCGGATGACCTCCGACGACAAATTGGACTGCGCCAACGCGTCCGAGATACCAATTTTGGTAGGAAATGACACCCATATTGTCATACTCTCGACAAGAGAAAATTGGCACGCAAATCGGTGAATTCGTCAAAATGACCTCTGACGGCAAAACAGACTGCACCGGCACGTCCAGAATGTCGATTTTTCCTAGGGAGAACACTGCGTGAACAAATCGCGTATTAATATATATATATATATATATTATATTGATATAAACCAAATTGTTTATTTCCCTAAAGCCCAAAATCCCTAAATCCTCCCTTCACGTCCGCAAAACCGCACGCCCGAGCCTTCCCTCGCGTTCGCGAGGCCGGCCCGAGTTTTCTTCGTCTCCGACCGCGAACCCTAGTCGAGCCGACAGAGGCGCGAATCTTTTGCGGTCCCCCTTCTCGTACGCCTGCTGCCCTGCGAAAGCCTTCAACCTGCTCCCACGCCTCTGCGATCCCCCGCGTTAG